AATTGTAGAAAATATGTTTGCAGTCTTGGTCAAAAGGCTGAAAAGCTGTAAAACCCAATTGGGAAATATTTGAAGGTTACAAAACCGTACTTTAAAGTTATACCCAAATATTGTCAAAATAACAAAGCTAGTATGAACTGACCTAAACGGCCAAGAGTGGTCCGTACAGTGGAGACTGCGATTACTGCTCCTGCTTTACAACAAGAAGGTTGTCCCTCTGCCGAATCTTAGTTTCCTGTGATTCGGGTCAGAAAAATGCAGAATTCGTTTAGTTGTTCTCTTTAAATTAACCACCGGTGTCGTCCAGTGACACTGAACAACATTACAGCAGTAGAAGATTCATGTTGTTTCCCAGCTTCAGCTCTCGCTTGGATGAACAATGGTTCTCCACTTGAGGGCAGTAAAGCCCTGCAGACACAGGACAGGGGCAAAGTGGATTCAGAAAAAAAAATCTGTTTAATGAAACCATCACAACACAGTGAAGCAGTGGACGTGACAGGTGTAGGTCAGAGGAGCTGAAGGTGGAAACGGTGGAAAAGCTGTGAAGAAATGTCCACAGTTGGGAGGGAGGAGGGACGAGGACGGGGGAGGGGAGGGAAGGGTGAGTCCAAAGTCTCTGAATGTTTGTCTGAGGTGCAAAACACAAGCAAGTCCGAACGAAAGTCCTACAAAAAAGATTAATGATGAGATCTCTGAGCATTGAGTTGTTGCTTTTTATTTGATCCGGTTGTTTTTCAAGTCTCAAAAATAAAGATCTGGATTTCAGACCTTAGACGTGACGTGAAACAGGTTTTGACCTTGTCAAGGTCTTTTGTCTGTGAGTCTTAAGCTCTTGGCCAACTTCCTACTTTTACCCTCTGCTCCTCCTTCTTTTTGGCTTTTATCTTCTTTATCATTTTCACAAATTCCAAAATCAGTTTTTTTCTTTTCTTTTTTTGCTCCCTGAGACTCACAAAGTCAGATTTGAAAAACCACTGAGCCAGAGAAAGGTCTGGACAAATGTTTGTTCTTGAGTGAAGGTGACAAACAACACCTAATGTTGTAAATGTCACTGTCTCTGCAGAGAAAATACAGTTTGATGAAAAGAACAATACGAGTTGATCTGTTTGGGACTGAACTCCTACAAACCAAGATTAATGTTACACCTCACTGTCGCTGCGTGATCTCTCAGCTCTCTCACTGGTCGGGACTTTCACCTACAGCAGGAGCCGTCAAACTGAACATCACAGTGGGCCAACTTCAGTACACTTTTGATATGATCTCGCGGGCCAAATATAATTACACTGTGGGCCAGATTTGGTCCCCGGGCCTGAGTTTGACGCATGTGTCCTACAGTATGAAAGGACATCGAATCATCAGTGTGATACTAAACAACAGAGACGTGAACTTGTTTTTATAGAACTAAGTATTTCACTGTAACTTTGGCCTTTGACCTTTGACCTTTTCTTTACACATGGTTCACTGTATTTTTATTTATTATCTGTTTTGGATACACTACAGTAAAAGTGATATTCATGAAACGTTGTCTTCCTCGACAGTAAAAGTGATATTCATGAAACGTTTTCCTCACTCTCCAGCTCAACCTGCTGAAGGAAATGCACCAGGATGAACTGGGTCGTATATCTGAGGACCTGGAGGACGAGCTGGGAGCACGGACCAGTATGGACAAGAAACTGGCGGAGCTGCGAGCTGAGGTGAAGAGTTGAATTAAAGCGTTTGAATTCAAACTCTAAATTTGAGCTATCACTGAGCTCAGCTTCAGTTATGCTCATACGTGGCCTGACCCAGTAGATGAGTGCAGCCGACGCCTTCTTTTCACTGTTTCTTTATTCTGTCTTCACCTTCAGATGGAGAGGCTGCAGGTGGAGAACGCTGCAGAGTGGGGGCGCCGTGAGCGCTTGGAGACAGAGAAACTGGCTTTGGAGAGGGACAACAAAAAACTGCGAGCTCAGGTGGAAGACCTGGAGGAGCAGCTGGCCAAGAAGCGTCGGCAGGCCGCATCTGCTCTGGACACAGACCTGAAGGCCATTCAGAGCGAGCTGTTTGAGAGGAACAAGGTGAGCAGACGTTCTGTAGAAGAAGAACTAGAACAGGACGGAGAACACTCTGTACACTGTACGTTCGGGGAATAGAATCCCACGTCCTTCTCCGTGGAGATTTTTCTTCCTCTGTCAGTACAAGTGTGAGTGTTAGTATGCGCGTGTGTGTGTGACAGTGTGACAGCGACCATTAATCTGCTCGGTGCTACCGTTGCCCAAAGCTCTGTCTGCAGTTGAAGAGAATCCCACCATCAATCAGCCCAGTGTCCACGCAGGGTCTTCATGGCTTTTACTCTTTCTCTTCTTTGTCCGGATCAATAACACGGATTTAACGCTGCACACAGACTGCAATCAGGCTGTCAGTCCTAGCTATAACACACACGCACACACACACACACACAGCGGTACATTTCTTCCATCTTTCCACAGCTGACTTTAAGCCTAGTTTACAGGGTTTATAGGCGAGGGCAGTGGTTCTTAACCTGGGTTCAGTCGAACCCCAGGGGTTCAGCGGAGGACGAGACACACACACGACTCATTTGATTCGTGATGACACGTCCCCCCCCCCGCTTGGCCATCACCGAAGGGTTCAGTGAATGCAGATATGAAACTGGTGGAGTTCAGTTCCTCCAACAAGGTTAAGGGTTTATTGTTTATAGGCTGAAAATTTGAACGTCTCTTTGCTTGACAAAAGCAAGAACCATAACCGCATCATACCGTATTTTCCGCACTATAAGTCACACGTTATATCATCCTGGGTTTGTGACTTATACTCAGGTGCGACTTATATATATTAAAATATATCATTTCCCATTCGTAATTTTTACACTGACAGCCACTAGAGGGCACTCTAGGCTTGAGCACACTTATCTGCAACGCCTGTACCACTGAAAATGTCCACTTTTGTTTTTTTCACACTGACAGCCACTAGGGGCACTCTAGCTGAAAGGTGCGACTTATACTCCCTGATCACTTGAATCACTCTCATCTGTGTATTTTTTATCGTCTGTATATTTTTATGACAGTGATGTTCACACCTAGATTTTATAGGTACATTTGTTTTGATTGTTGTGTGCGTGTGTGTGTGTGTGTGTGTTTGTGTGTGTGTGTGTTGCTCTGCCTGACAGCAGGGCGGCTGTGCAGCTTGGAGAACATTGGTCGTAAGTGTTTTGTCGATGTAAATGGCTCCATTACCCTCCAACCCCACAGGGGTTAATTATGAAGCTCTCAGGTTTATTTAATGCCGCAATTAGCAACACACAAACACACACACACACACACACATGCTGAATACTGAACAATAACAGGACAGGTTAGCTCAGAGGCAGAAGGAAGAGGAAGGTAAAGATACTGAGACGCAGGACGACGGAGTGAAGAGCAGCGGACAGAGACGCTGCTTCTCTTCGTTCTCGTTGGTTTGTTTTCACCTGTAGATGTCAGCGCTCTACAAGTCAGAAATCGTAAAAACAAAATTAAAAATAGAGAGTCCTCAAATATTTACACAAACATAAATAGGAACTTGATTTAATTCTTGGATGAGGCAGAGACGCAGGTTTGGAACCGGTGTAAAGAACGTTCCCTTAGAATTCTACAACGAAGGAATTCTCTGATGGAAACAACAACAAAGTGTTTGGACTTCAGTAGAGAAGAAAATAATTTTACATTACATTTGAATAAGTGTTTATTGCCTTTGTATGTAAATAAATATTGCATTTAAACAAAATATATTGTTTTCAGAAAAGTGTAGAATTGTTACAAAAAAGTGTTCAAATGCCAAAACTTTATACATCGTCCAGATTTCTCTGCCGTGCGTGGATTTTGAAGCCGTCCTATATTTGTGACCTTTGCAAGAAATCATTGTCTTCAACAGGATTTGACGAGAACAAAAGGCTCTGGAAACGAGTCAAGAGATAAGACGAAGCTAAAGAAACAAATAAGACCTTAAAACCAGTGACACGATCGGAGAGCATCGGGATTAGGCCTCAGATTAAAGAGATAAGGCTTGGATTACAAATTGGTTTTAAAGATTTCCATGGCAAAAGAGAACCTAATGTGGAGGAGGAGAGATTTTTCACAACTTTCTGAGGAACGTTAGCACCCTGAGGTTCTAATGGAGAGATTCAGGGTTGACGAGAGCTGTTTGGAGGAGACGACCTCAGGTGACTTTGGAGCTGGAGAACGTAGCACTGAGTGAGTTTTTTTTTAGTGATGGATCATCAACAATGTTCTATTGTTACTTAAGAGAATTTGATCACACACTTGGGCTTTTTTTTCCCTCAGATCTCATAATGATCACATTTGTTCGGTCACGGAGAGGCTGTGTTTTGATTAAATATTTATATTTGGGAGAGCATCAAAAAAAAAAGTTAAAATTACCAAGAAAATGTCAGAGACGGCAAAATAGCAAAATAACACCCTCGTCAGCCCCTCCAGAAAAAGAGAAAAATGCAAGAAGACATTTTGACAAAATGGTCTGAAGACCAAAATACTAATTTAAAAAAAAAACATAAAAAATAAAAACTGTCCTCATGAGGACATTTCACAGGTACGCACAGAGTGAGAGAGTATTTTGTGAATTCAAGATTCATCTAGCCGAGTCGGATTAGATTCAGATTAGAGTGAAGGGATTAGGATTAGGCATATATTTATGATAGTTAAGGTTGTAGTTATGGGTGATGAAAAGTGTGACATCTATGTGAAATGCTCACTGAACACAAAAAAAAACAGTGTGTGTGTGTGTGTGAGAGTGTGTGTGTTTGTGTGTTTTTTGTGTGTGTGAGGAAGGAGATGAAGAGACGGAGAAGCAGAGCCGTGCTGTCTGTTAAATGTTTCTCCTTGACTGGAGAGACCCTGAAGTCTGCCACTACATCTGTTCCACTAAGAAACACAAACACACACACACACACACACACCCCTCCTCCTCCCCCTCCTCTCTTTCACATTAATCACACACCGTCTTCTGAAAGTGTGGGAACACTGAGGTTCCAGCCCTGAACTACTGCTGGCCGAGGCCGAAAGTCGAAAACTCATTCATCACATCTCTGTCAGACGGATTCCACAGATACAACTCGACTCAACGAAATGAAAACAGAAATGAAATTCAAATGGTGCTGATACAAAATTACAATCTGATGCAAGAACAAAAATTATATCTTACTAGTCAAAGCATGACCTTTTTTACCATTATATACTGTATCTATGTATATATATATGTACATCATTTCAACATTTGCAAGTCAATGTTCTCCATTAAAACATTGTTGCGTCTCGACGTAACGAATGTTAGCGTTGCTACCGGTAGCCGCGATGACGCTCGTTTCTCGTCTCAACTTGAACGAAAGCAAAAAACATGACGTATGGTGTGTTATTAGCATCAATCTAAAATATTGTGACGTGTAAATCATTGTACACATATATCTTATGTACTAGTCAGCATTCTTGCATTAGCACTAGCGAGGCTAGTGCATCACCTCCAGATGTCCACTGGGGGAAACAAAGCGACCCAGCAGAGGGGGTAAAGGGTAGATAATGGATGGAGGGATGGTCCTCTGGACAATATTTAGACTTTATGTCTCAAACTATAATCGCCAACTTAAAGAGACACAGTGGTGCATTGTGGGTAAAAAAAAATAATGTTCTTATATGACCCCAAACTATGCTTTCAGGGCACAGAGACATTCTTTGTCCAAGTTGTCCAAGTACTGCATATATATATCTGTATATATGTGATGGATAATGATGACATAATGCTGCAGATATAAATAGGGCAGTAAAGGGCATTTCTCATTCCTGGTGGTGGGTTTGGCTTTTTATTGTTCCTGTAGATGAGCGTCCACGGTCGTATAAATTCTGAGCAGCTTCTTGGAAGCCGCTCTGTCTGGGGAGCCATTAGGAGTGAGACGGCGCAGGGAAAGGGAGAAGTGAGTGTACGGCATCAGAGTGAGGATGAAAGTGCAGTGAGTGACAACGGTACATTATTGATAAGTCCATTAGCTCTGCGTGCACACTTCCTCAACCGCCGTGAAGTCAGACCTGTGGAGAAGAGCTTCTTGTTGGGTCAGACGTCGCCTTCGCCACGAAATGACTTATATATGTGTGTGTGTATATATGTGTGTATTAACAGTATATATATATACATACATAAACAGTCAGATTACAGTTTTTATCGCATGCTCAAAATGACCAAAATGTGTTACAGCATGTCGTTGACCTTGACCTTAAGATACATTCTCAACTGCAAGTGTGTGTTTCAATTTAGAATAATATTTTTCTTGACATTTTTTCATTTTAATAATTCCATCATGTATTAATATATATATATATATATACATACATGTATATCTATCTGTGCTAGTCAAAGCATATATATATATATACATATATGTATATATGTATGTATTTATGTATGTATGTATGTATGTATATGTATATATTTAAACATTGGATGCAGATGGAGGTGGATCAGAACCTGTTTCTGTTCCATTTGGTCAAAAAAACCAACGTTTGCTTTGATTTAAAATGTTCATTTTCTGTGGTTTTAAAACCCTATTGAACTAAAGGCCACACAGCTCCATCACTGCACACAGAGAAAATGAAAAAGGTGTTTGAGATCCTGAGAGTTTTGTCTCAACATGTGTTAGTTCAAATTCTAACATTTTTTCCTTGAACTTTTTACTGACTGAGCTCAGTTTTCTTTTTATATAAAAATCTATGAGAGAGGAGAATGATTTTTCTGCTTTCTTTAAGGTCTGCAGCTCAGAGACTGAAGAGTTTTAATCCCTGTGGACTTTGTTCCCTGCAGTGCCGCTGCAGTGACTCCGTCTTTGACTCGATGCAGTGACAACATTTAAGCTGCATTTTTCACCCAGCTTTCCGTCCCACATGAGACCTTATATATCAGCCACCTTTTCTGTCACGATGATGAATTAGTTTTCAGCCTCACTGCACACAAATGTCATCAGGATATTGCAGTAAAGAGTTCCCACCAAATGTCAATATTCAACCGTTCAGTTCATCAGGGATTATTAATGTTTTCATGAATAAACGAGGAGTGGACATGGACTCTCATCTCACCACCTGTCTGTCTGCTGCCTTATCAGGAGCTGGGCGACCTCCGCCACATTCACGCCAAACTGAAGAAGCAGTATCAGGAGAAGACGGCCGAGCTGGCCCACGCCAACCGCAGGGTGGAGAGTCACGAGACGGAAGTCAAGAAGCTACGACTCAGGGTGGAGGAGCTGAAGAAAGAGCTGGGACAAGCTGAGGACGAGGTGGGAGACGGGACTGTTGATTTGTTCTCTGACACTGGTTGCTGTTGGCGAGTGTGTTTACCTGTGTGTGTGTGTGTATTTGTTTAGTTGGACGAGTCTCACAACCAGACCAGGAAGCTGCAGAGGTCTCTGGATGAACAGGTGGAGCAGACGGAGAACCTGCAGGTACAGCTGGAACACTTACAGTCAAGGTAAGGTACACACACACACACACAAATACACACACAGATATGCACACATTATTCTTTCTACAATGGTGATTACACTGTGCTAGAATAACAAATCTAAAGTATATAAATATATATGTAAATATATATTTACATATATATAAATATATATGTAAATATATATACATATATTTTACTTTACTTATATATATTTGTGTATATATGTACATATATTTGTATACAAATATATGTACATATATATACTACAAGTATATGTGTGTATATATGTACATGTGTATATATATTTATATATATAATCTTCCCTTTTGCGGTACAATAAGACTAGAGTTGTTTTCCTTACTAATACCCATGTAATGATATAGATAAATATAAGTACACATAATACTCTCTACTATAAGAGACACTATGTTCAGAAACAGGAAACACACATATATGTGTGAACGTGTGTTTACTCAATCACGCACTCGCAGCTTTTTTTTTTCCTGCTCTTTCACATCTTCTCTCTTTATTCTCTTGGTGTCGTTACGCCTCCAACCAATGTCTGAGCTGCTGGTGGCTGGTTACCATGGCGACGCAAAACGACAATGTTGTTGCCTCTCTGTCAGCCCTGTCGGCATGGCAACACAGTCAGGGACTAACAGATATCTTTGTTTCTGTCGCGAACGAGGCTTCGGCGCTTTAGCCTTCGGATATGATCGGAAATGGAGAGTGACGCACCGAGAGGCTAGGACTAAATGAGAGTGGTTCAATGGGAAATGAAGTGAGCTACAGGTTAGCATCAGCAGCGTTTGCATTTGAAGACAGCAGTAGCGGAGATTGACCCACAAAAAAGTTGAATGGAATAAATTTGATTTTTGCTCAGATATTGACCAAAATATAGAACAATGAAATCAGGATGTTGTAAAAGCGCAAAGCAGTGTCATCATTTACTGACCTCTGGATTCAGTCTGCAGTACTGCAGTTTTCTCCACCTGATTAATACGAGGTGATGAATCTCTGTCTCCTCTCTGGAAACCTTTTTGTTTTCTTTTTTTTTTTAATTAGCAATTGTCTGATCAAACCACTCCTCCTGTAGGGCCTTACAACTGTTCATGTGAGTGAGTGAGTCAAAAGGTGGGAGTAAACCCACGGGGGGAGGATTTGGTTTAACTGTGTTAACAGGAGGACGACGTCTCGACTGAAGGCAAAGGGACGAGAGTGTGTGTTTGGACAGGATTATTCAGTCGGTGTCAGTTTCTCACTCGGAGGAAATGAAGTGTTGTTTCTGTTTCACTGGCAGCCGGGGCTTCCATTTTACTTTGATGTATCCATTACAACACTCAGCGCAGATCTACAGTGTCGTTTTCCAGCACTTTCTCAGTGTGTGTTTGTGTGTGTGTGTTTAATTTAAAGGCACTAACAACCAAACACCACTTATCCCCCCTCTCTCTCTCTCTCTCTCTCTCTCAGATTACGGCGGCAGCAGCAGAATCCCGGTTTGTTCGGGAAGATGAGATCCGCTCGCTTCGGTTCCGAAAACCCTGACAACCTCGCTAGCGATGCTGATGAGGAGGAAGAGGAAGAACTGCAGCTTCAGATCCCATGATACACACAAAAAAACACGCAGTTTATTTGAAAAAAAAAACAGTTTAGTGTTTCCCCCCCCAAAAAAACCCATCTTTAATGGACCCCCAAGTCTTTGCAATCATCTTCCAATGTTTTTATGTTTCTCAGTGTTAACCACCAGGCAGTTAGAAAAGTCCAGAGTTGGTGGAATTGCCTGTTAAACCAAGTGATGGTGTTAAAGAGTCAGTTCCAAAAAAAAAAAAAAGACAAAATAATTAGTTCTCAGAGTTCCAAGAAACACACACACACACACACAAACAAACAAGTGTTTCAGATAAGAGACTTGTAAAAACATCCCAAGTCCTCCTCTGGGTCGGGATGGGCAGGGATGATGTTTTATGTTTATGTTTATACTTAGTCATTTTTTTTTACAATGTTGTAATTTTCTTCGAAAGAAAAAAAAAAACAAATCTCAGTGAGTTTCACTCATTCCTCCTGGATGGTCTTCACTCAGACTGTTCTGGAATAATGAAACATTTTAGTACAAACTAATAAAACTCCCGTTGACTGTCGAGTATCGAGCCAACCGCAGTATTTCCTACTCCACGCAGTAGGTGTTAAAGGGATAGTTCATGTTTTTTACCTGTAGGGGCATGAATGACCAGGCCGCAGAGGTTGATCTTCCTGTGTCTACGATCATAAAACAAGACAAAACAAACAGGTTTTAACACGTTATAAGACGGTGACCTAGCAGAGCGATCCCCGAACGTTTTTGGACCAGTCATTTAAAGATGATTGAGGATCCTAAAATTTTTCAAAATAAAACATCTTTTCGACTTCATGCTGTTTGTATCAGAGTCTGAAAGAAGATTTTCTGATTATCTTTAAATGAAGAAGGTGAATGAAAAATCTCGACCCGTTACAAAATGACCCACAGCCAAGTACTGGTCCGTGGACCACGGGTTGGGAACCCCTGACCTCGAGAACACGTCCGCTGCTTCATCTCAGTGTTATGAAAATATGGTTTGAACAAAGACAGTGCCGCGCCTCGTGATCATGAACCGCCAACATCCCTCTGTGACCACGCTCCAGTGGTGGAACATTAATTGGTTCTCCACCTCCCTGCTCTCCTGTCGTCTCCAGCTCTGCAGCTGGATCCTCCGAGGACTGAGAAGGTTTTTTTTTTTTTTTTTACCTTTCCAGATTCTGAACTATTTAAGTTGTCGTTTGTATGGTTTAGTTTTTATAAATGATCTGTGGCTTTTGTATTAGCTCTATAAATGTCATCAGTGTACATACAAAGACCAGAGAGTGGGTGTCTTCTTCATACCGATTGACCGGTATGTGTGTGTTCCAGGTCCACTGTAGCTGGACATGCTGTAGTGGTTTACCAGGTCCCCACTGAGTGATGGATCATGGTTCATCTTCAGATTGAGATTATGGTCAGATTAGATTGAGGATTAGGTTTAGTCATATCTGAGATGACGTTTCAGTAGAACCAAAGGATTTGAAATCTAAGGTCAAGTCACTAAGTTAAGTCTCCGGGGTTAAAGTCAAAGTTTGAGTTTATATCAAGTCATATCCAGTTACTCGGTGTGTACAGCAAGTCAAACGTCTAAAATACACAGAAAAAGTCGAATCCAAATGGAGTCTACAGGATTTAAAAAATGTTTCTAATCCAGGAAGGGTCTTTGTGGTTTCTAGTCCAGGTCCCATCACTAGTGAAGAACTGTGAGTGAACTGAGTGAAGTCTCAGTTGTGTTACTGGGGGTTGAAGGTAGAATTGAGATTTCTTCAAAGTCTGAGTTACTAAAGAATAGTTAGGGTCAAGTCAAGGGTCAAGTCTCGAAGGGTTCGTTTCACAATCCAAAGTCTCCAAAGATGTTTCGTTTCCTTGGTTTCAAGAGCGAGTCTCAGTCACTCAGACAATCAGTTTTCATCAGGTTACAAGTCTTAGAGTTTTGAGTCATAGAAGGAGTTGAATCCCCGGGATTCCACGTTCAAAGTCAGTTGAGAAAAGATTTCCTCTCAAGGCTACCAGTGAAAAACATGTAGAGTAGAAACCAACCCCAGCCTGAGACTGAGGGACAGTGTGAAATTTGTTTTTCTGAGGTCGTGGTTTCTAACTGCGTGGCTTTGAACATTATGATTTTTTTTTTTGCCAAGGTCTAATAACAAAATCAACAAATTAACACAAGTATCTGCTATAAAATATGGATTTAAATTTTTAGAGCGATTCAATCAGTTCTTGTTCAAAGTCCTCAAATAATAATTTTTGGGGTTTTTTTTCCACAAATGGAATTCATTTTATTGTTAAGTCATTCAAACCCCCCCCCCCCTTTTTTTTTTTTTTTTTTTTTTGATGTGATGCTTTTTAAGATGAAAAGAAACTGGAACAGTCTGGTACTTTGTGATTACAATATTCTGCCAGTTTACCATTACTACACTGAAGAGAAACATGAAAGGGTGACGAAAAAAAGGAGGATCAGTGAAAGATGAAATATAAATAATTGCAGAAAAGATGATGAAATAAATGAAGCGAGACAGAAATTCCAGGTTCAACCACAAGGTAAATTTAAATATATATTCTGCAAATATAATGCAAAAACTTAATTTCTCTTCATTTTTTCCTCTTCTCAGTATTTTATATTGTTCTAGGCTAAATGTATATATACATATATATAGATATGTATATGTATATATTTCAATATATACTTAGCTATATAAGTACATATATGAATAGAAATACATATATTAAAAACATATTTTCTCCTTTTAAAATATAATATTTTGATATGCACAGACTTGTTTAAAGTAGTTAAAAACATTTTAAATAGAATCATTATATTCCATTTATTATTATTAATTTTTATCAGTTATTTTGGCAACATTTTGTAGGGTTTTAATCCTCATGCTATAGGTTACAGTTTTTTCGGGCATTTTTTTGGTGGTTTGGAGGTGGGATAAGGTGGGTTTGTTCATTTCTTACTTTTCATGTAGGACATATGCAACTTCACTATTCAAAATATTTATAAAAGGTGAACTTCAACCAGAAAAACATTAAAACAATTAATGACAATGTGACTGAGGAAACGGCATCTGGTGAAACACCGTCTGTCATCACTCACACACAGCTTCCTCCCCCGAGTTGTGCTTTATCGCCTCTGTTCCTCTAAATGAGTGTTTAGCGTTGATTCAAACGAAGTGGAATCATTTATTATTCCACATTATTATCCGTCCATGCCTGACTTCCACATCCAGGATTTCTTCTCTCTTGTTCTTTCTTCCTCCTCCACAACACCAGGGTTTTAGAAAATATTTTTTCCAATTCTGTTTAGCTGTGTGCTTTATAAAAGACTCGACAGGAAGTTGTTTTCTTTAATTTGGCTCACGACTTTGTCCCACTTCTAAATGTGTTCGACAGCTGGAGCTGCAGCGGTGGCTGTGATTCAGCTCTGCAGGAGTAAATTAACAGCCAACACTCTGTCGGCATCACCAGACTCAGCCATTCAGTCTGAATTTCACTCGATGTGGACGACCGGAAATTAAACTCCAGATAATTATTTTGCCTTTTAAATAAAAACTAAAGTTAGTTACAAAAACAATATTCGACAACAGCTCTTCGGGTAGTAAATCTTCGACCTTATTTCTTGGTCTTTCTTGGACCAAGATGCCTTCACTGACCACCTGTAGGTGTCTGCGTGTGCTTCACCTTTCACCTTTGACCAGGTATCAGCTGTGATTGGCTGCAGCTCTCACATGCCCCCTATCAGGGAAACCTTATGAATAAAATATTACTGTAGGAAGTAATTTGCAGACTTAGTCCCTGTAATTAGATTTTTTTTTTTAAAGATATCCTGTAACTGTAGGTGAAGTAATAGGCAGAATAATGACTGTAATTACTGACGGGGAGAGAAGAAGAAGAAGAAGAAGAAGAAGAAAATCAAAGACCAGAGGAGCCTTAGACATAGACACATCCACACACACTTGCTTGTTTCGTGAGCATTTCACATACAGATAATTGATTCTCTAGCCTCTGGTCCGTAACTGTGATATAACATATGCCTAATCTAAACTTTGACACTTATTTTAATCCTAACTTCAAACCTAATCTTGATTCTCAAAATGTTCTCCTAACTTGGCGATGCTGTTTAAAATGTCCCCAGAAGAACAGCGTCCACACAACAATGGGATTCTTCCAAAACATTGACCCCACAAGTACATCTAAACCAGTATTGCACACACACACACAGACGGTGGTTTGCTGCACTGAGTCGACACAGTAATGAGACTGGAGGCTCAGCCTGACTCCAAACACACAGCAGGTGGTGAAGGAGGTGAAGTGGGTGGAATGATGGGGGTGTGGAGTGGAGGCCGACTCACTCTTCCTTCCTCGATCACTATTATTACTGAGTCTTAGACTGAAGCCCAGACATGTAAAAGCTGCATCAGTGACACAGATCATTAACACAACTTTGAGTCTGCTCAGGCGGGAAATATGAGGACGTTTAGGTTGACAGTAGACCTCACAGGAAGCATGTTGTCTCACCTTGGTGTAAGACAGGACAGTAACAGAGTCAGGACATGGCAGCTGGACATGGGGACACTTTGTCCATTCTCACATTGTTATCTCTGGCTGTCGATCTACAGCAGAGGTTATAAATCTCACTGCCTGCTGGACCAAACACAAATGTTTTATAGTTTATGTATATCTATTTATCGATATATCTAAATATATATCTATATATATATATTTAGATATATATTTATCTATATAATATAGATATATATTTTATATATAATATTTATATTTGTTTTATAAATCTAAATATATATATATTTATCTATATGGGTATATATTTCAATATATATTTAGCTATGTAAGTACATATATAGTTATACATATATTATAAAACATTTTCTCAAACACAAAAAAAACTGATCCCAAAGATATTTTTTTTACCCATCACTGCCACCTAGGGCTGCAACAGAACAATCATTAATTTCAAATTAATTCTGCCTTTTCTAATCTATCTTTGAAAAGGGACAAATTGAAACACAAATTGCAAGCGAGAGCAAAATTAGATTTTTCACAAAACCAAGTACAGAATACCAAACCAAAGAGGTCTAGACCTGGGCTCAGTCGAGGAATTTACAAGAATACCCTTAATGTTCCAAAACCTCAACAACTCAACAGTAAAGATCACTGTTTAAAGTCCGTGATCAGACGAAGGTTCAGTCCTTCAGCTGCACCACACTGGGCTTCACATGCTTTACAGCCACACCGGTGTCGGACATGCAAACTTGTACAAGTCTCCTATGGAGCCCTGGGGATGACAGCCATCACCAAACACACATCCACACACACACACACACACGCCCAGGCTGTTAGCTGTGTGTGTGTTAATGTTCAGCATCATCCCCTGTGCACAGTAGAGGAGATGATTCTGAATAGTGTCGGCTAAGCAGGCTGTAATGTACTGAGGCCATGTGTGTGGCGTTAGATGTGTGTGTCTGTTGTCCACAGTGGTGTTCGTGTGTGTGTTCGTGTCTGCACGGAGCTCAGAGCCTAGTTCATTATGTAAATTTTCCCACTGTCTTTCTCATTAGAGCAGTAATGGCTGACAGCAGGAAGGCAGAACATTACATTGATCCCTGGGATAATTATTTCACAGCGATCGCTGGATCTCCTTGTGTGTGTGTCTTTGGAGTGTGCGCGCGTGTCCTATATTTGTTTCAGTACGAAACACAAACCATGTGAAAATGTGTTGTTTTCTGTAAAATAATTGAATTGTGGCCGGCATCGACTGTAGCTGTCTCCTCCTGCCTTTTCCACTGGTTTTATTGCCTTAAATTGCTGTCTGTCTCTTTTGTAATAAACCAATTTCAGCTTGGCTGCACATGAACAAGGCCAATAAATGATCCTGACTCACACACAGGCACACACAGGTCATTACCACTGGCACTGGGCTGTTTGTGAGCAGAGAAAAACTAAAAGGACTTGTTTTTAATCATTCTTGGCTTTTTTTTTTCCTCCACTTTCGCTGTGAAAGTTTATTTTCCACTGTGGAAAACACAACGGCGGCAAATTGAATAAAGGCAGACAAAAGCCACCTTTAACTGAAGCTCTACCTCCTGGCTCTTTGTCATCCCGATCCGGAGGACAGAGTTGTACTGTGCAGTCTTACAGTACATTCCCCTCGAATTGTCCCGTTGGCTGTTCGCATATTTGGTTGTTTATTTTTTCTTATGTAACTGTCCAAAATGAGACAAAGACGAATGAAGCGTATTTTTTCTTATGTAA